TGCTTACAAAAGAAACTTGATGGGAATTCCAAATTTCCAGTGACTTGATAGAAGGAACAACAAAGGAAGAGCAAAGGAAGCCTAATATTCAAACAGTGACTTGATAGAGATAGATTGACAATGAACAACATTAATGAAAACAGGAAGAAGCATTAAGAAACCTAGGAGAGAACAGTGATAAAGGAAAACCACATTCAAGTGCTTAACCCAGCAAAAGGTTACTAGTTTGAAACATCAATATCTAAGTACCAAAAAGGTTACCAGATTCTTGCAAAACAATCAGCATAAATAACTAAGTTACAAAAAGAAATTGAAGAAAAACGTAAACTGTTAAAGGATCAAATTATGCATTACTAATAACCCAATCATACAACAAAAGTTTCATTTTAAACACGACTACTTAAGAAACTTTGATATGCATGGCAAGGAAAAATTCAGTAACCAAACCCAACTAACAACCCAATCAGTTGTGATTTCAGATCTGTTCTCAAAATGAAGTAGCTCTCTTTACCCATTTAATTATATTATCGCTGTGTACAAGGAATTATATAGAGACAAATGTTGAACAACTTACACAAGTTAGCATCTGATGCTGCATATGGACCGATAGTAAGCTTATACATATTAAAATGGTCTATTTTGATCAACATTTATTTTGTGTACTATCATTGAAATTTACTCAAAGAAACATGTGTTGGAATGTCATATGGACGGTGAATCTTCTCCAAATGCCATCCTCTTGGTAAGACAAAGAAACGGACTCAGTGATATTGGAAATATTAAGTGTTCCAATATGGACAACACAACTTTTTTACCTTTTTCCAGCAAATGTAAAGAGAGGTGACCATGAACTTAACCTATCTGAAGTTGGAAGGTAAACATCCTTCAGTCTGATCAGAGAAACTGAGAGAATGTGTGTATGATTTATGGAAACCAGGTAAACTGTAACACATATTTTTATAAAATTGTAACTTTTTTTGATTTTGATTACATATACATCAACAACAGTAGCATATCACAATAAAAAAATTGTAACTTTTTATGATAAAATTGTAACTTTTTACGACTTTGTATATCTATATATATGTTTTGTGATCTCTAATTTTTATTTTCGCTTATTATATCCATGGTTATTTTGGTAAGGAGAAGATGAAGAACGACAATTATGCAAGTCAGGCCTTTTAACAAACACTTGACATACATAAGCAAAACTCAAACAGATAAATGAAATGGTTCAAGCAATACAAAATCAGTAAGTGATTTGCTACAAGTCAGGCCTTTTAACAATCACTAGGCATACATAAGCAAAACCCAAACATATAAATGAAATGGCATTGTTCAAGCAATACAAAATCAGTAAGTGATTTGCTACTTCAAAATCATTATTCATCAAAATAAACAAACCCAAATTAGCAAAACCCAAACAGATAAATGAAATGGCATTGTTCATACCTGAAATGGCAGATGGAGAGCGAGGGTAAAACAGAGAGGGACGATTGAACGATTCGAAATATGCGGTGATGGCTGCTTTCAACAGTGAAAGAACTATGTGAGGGACGATTGAACGATTAAAGGGAAGCGAGGGACGACTCTTTTTAAAGGAATCATCATCTTGGGAAGTGAGAGAAATCCCTAAATCGTCGTCTTGGGAGCCGGGTAAAGGGAAGCGTCGTCTTGGGAGAGGGGAGCCGGGTACAGGGAAGCGACATCTTGGGGGAGGGAAGGCGGGTGAAGGGAAATGTAAGGATATATAAGGGTATTTTGGTCATTTAAAATTTTAAGACTTTTAGTAAATCTGCTTAATAAGGTATATATATATATACTAGAAGAGTATTCGCGCAATGCAGCGAGACACATCTCAATTTTAATGTTCTATTTTATTATTTGTATCTGTCGATGCTATGATACGATTTTATGTGTTTTTAAGAAAGCAACAATGATTTTATTTTTGAAAAAAATATAAATGTGAAGATATCATAAAAATTGAAAAAATAATATATCAATGTTAATATTAAAATCAACTATTTAAAAGTTCTATTTTTATGTAATTTTTTTAATTTATTTATTTTATTATAATTTAATTTAAGTTTAATAACGAAATAATTTATTTTTGGTTTAATAATACTAGAATGGTACTCGCACAATGCAACGCGATACATCTTGATTTTATTGTTTCATTTTATTTTTTTTGTCGCAATCGATGTTATAATATGGTTTTATGTGGTTTTGAAAAAGTGATAATGTTTTTATTTTTGAACAAGATATAAATATGAAGATATTATAAAATATTTTAAAAATTACCAAACTAACTATTTAAATTTTTTTCTTGTGTGTATTTCTGTAATGCATTTTTTTGGTTTAATAATATAATTTTCTTATATAAATATAATAATTAATTATTTTGTTAGAACTCAATAATTATCTTAATTATATTTTAGATTTTTTATATTTTAAAATGAGATGTTTATCCTCTATTTGACTATGTCTATCCGCAGTTAATTATACGAATTCAAACACTGAGCTTTAATAAGTTGTACTTATATATAATTTACTTGTAATCTTGAATTTTTAAGTAATATGCATTAATATACAGTACTTCATGTATAAAAAATGGTTTTTAAAAGTTTTTTTGTCAAATACTTTATAATATGGTATATATATATATATATATATATATATATATATATACACACATGCAATATGTCTGTGCAATGCACCAGGCGGGTGAGGGTGAGTAGGGCGAGAAGTTTTACCGCAAATGGAAATGAAAAAAAAATTACAATTCCTAGCTAGAAAAAAGATAAATATCTATGCACATTATTGTGAACCCCTTGATATCACATTGCTTTTTAGCTTTAGATATAAGTAAAAACTATTTGCTACTTGGTTCCAAGAGATTATGCATGGGGCAGAAAGTTCAATTCCCCAGCGCCCACCTTACATTCACATTTTGTTTCAGAATAACAACTATCGGACCTAAAATTTCAATAATAAAAACAACTCAAATGCAAGCAAAATACAATACATTTTGACTTTCCATAACAAATGGCATTAAAGTATTCTAACCGTGGAGCTTTAGTTCAAACGTACGAGTTTTTTTTAAACAAAAGTAGAACTCGACTGCTTCTAAACGTTTCTCTAATTCCTCTTCATCCATCTCCTTTTGTTTAGGAAAACGTGGGAAGGTTAGGAGTCTTTGCTTTGGTCTTGACATCAACATCAAGGATGAAATCATCTTTAACACTACTAGAATACTGGGTATTTCCGGCGGACAACAAAAAAATCAACCTCTGTTGACTTTCGACGGAAATCCGTCGGAAATATTATCCTGGTAATATTTTCGGCGGATTTCTTAATTAATTATTTTAGACTTGTATTTAAATCTAATTACAATAAATTACCGGCGGATTTCCGGTGGGTATTTAATTAATCTTTTAAAATAATATCCGTCGGAAATCCGCCGGAAAGTAATTAAAGATTAAAAATTATTTTTAACATTTTCCGGCGTATTACCGGCGGCATGGATTTCCGGCGGCATCCAAAGGGCCGTTGGTAATCCGTCGGTAATATTTATTCAAGATTTTATAAAAATAATCAAAGATTTTTCGGCGGATATTATTGGCTTAAAGACTTACAGGAATAAAATCAGCGCCAACGGATGGCGGAGGAAGAGCGATGGCGGGCAACGGAGGAGAGACGGCGGACGGAGGAGGAGCGACAACGGCTGGAGGAGGAGCGACAACATCTGGAGGAGGAGCGGGATAAACAACTTGAAGATATGACTGCTTTGGTTAGACAGCTCAGTCAATCTCAACATTTCTCTCCGCCATCGTATTGAATATTGTATGCTTGTTTGAAACAATTTAGTTTTTATTTGGTTGGGATAATTGTCGTCTACTTTAATGTATGATATTTAGTTACATTTCGTTTTTTTTTTAATATTTTACAGATTTACATGTTTTAAATACAGGTTTTGAAAAAATTAATTGTAAAAATAATCTAAAATTAATATTTATATATTTTTATGGTGGATTTTCAGACGGATGTATCCGCCAGTAATTTTTAAAATTTAAAAATATATTTTTTTAAAAGTTAATTTCTTTTTCCGGCGGAAACGTTACCGGCGGCTTTCCATCGGATGTGTCCGTTGGTAAATTAATTCATTGTTAAAAAAAAACTTAAACATTTTCTTAATTTAATCACGAATTTTTAAATAAACCGGCAAGAAGTTTCCGGCGGCCGGTATTCACTGGAAAATGGTAAAATCCGTCGGTGAATCCGCCAGAAAATTAATTACCGGCGCCAATCTTTTCAGGGCCTTGTCTGCCGGAATTTTTGATTTCCGGCGGATTTCTGAATTAATTAAATAACCATATTTCGAAAATTTTAACCACCATTTTTTTTCTTTTTAAAATATAATTTAATCTAACAACAATTTCTATAACTCACCACAAACTTTTTAAAACACTAAAGGGGCCGTTTACTAAACGCTTACTTGGTAAGTGCTTACCAGATAAATTTTTTCATCGGATGAATATGACAAGGGCCAAGAATCTTACCGAGTAAGAGCGATGAGAAGGATGAAAAGTCTTACCCGGTAAGTGAAAATGACAACTCTTACCCAAGTAAGCGCTTACCCGGTAAATTGTTGCATTCGATGCGTTTTGATGTACTAAAATCTCACGTATCAAAATAAATTATAGTGTTGACTCGTATCAGTAAGCACTTATTGGATAAATATTTGGGTAAACATCCCTAATTACTAAAATTGATCAGTAGTCACACATCTACTACGATCATAGTAGATATTGAAATAATCACATACGTTATAAATTAATACAACCTTCATTACATAACGTACATATTATCGTAACAAAATTACACTGATATAACTAATAATAACACACACAAAAAAGTATCGACGATTGTTAAAATATGCTCATAGAATAAAATTTTAGTATTAACCCCAACATTTGTGACACTTTATTTTTATTGGTCAATTAATTATTAAATGCGTTACATACACGTCTAATTTCTCCTCTTTTCGGACCGGTCTCAACTCCAATCCGACCCATTTTCACCATGGACTTGACGAAGTCCGCTTCAAATGATGGCCTAACCGTTTGGTTAGAAAACCTGAAATACGAATCCACTATTTGCTTGGTTGTTGGATCATCCAAGAGCTTTGCATCAGTTTGTAGCACTGCAAAGCCATTTCTAATGTTTTGTAGGATATGATCGTCAAAAGTGTTGCCACTGTCATGATCCATCGGCAACCTAACGTTTATATCTACATTCGGAGGGCAAGTTTCTATCAATTCCGGGAGAAAATTAGGGTTTATGCTCGGATCTGGACCTCCACCGGGCATGAAGTTGTAGAGCCGCTCCATGAGGAAGAAGCATGCGGTTGTACCAATAGTATGTGCACCTAAAATTTGTTACCATGAAATAAAAAAATTAAACATATATCTATACTATATTATAAAGCATTTGACAAAAACTCTTAAAAGTCATTCTTTAAGTATGAAGTATTGTGTATTAGTGCATATCACTTAAAATTTAAGATTACAAATACATTATGCGTAAATATAACTTATTAAAACTCCATTTTTGAATTCGTATAACTAACTGCAGATAACTATAATCAAATACATGATAAACATCTCATTTTTTATATAAAAAATCTAAAATATTATTAGGATAATTATTGAGTTCCAAGAGAATCATTATCTTTATAAAATTTTATTGTTAAGCCAAAAATAAATTACTCCACTAAATCGTAAAAACATTATCATTTTTTGCAAAACCACATAAATCTCATTATATCAACAAAGACAAAAAATAAAACGAAACATTAAAAATGAAGATATATCTCGCTGCATTATGCGAGTACCCTTCTAGTTATCATAAAACATAGATATATTTAAGCGTAAACTGATTAATGTCAATTTCGTTAAGGCCAGTTAATCTAGCCTCCTAATAATGCGAATGTAGCTTTCGGCTCTTAAGATCAACATGATAAAAATTCAAGAAAGAGTTTTATCAAACCAATATTTTCAACAATCCACAATATAACAATTAATAGTCGGCTTTGTTTAGCAGGGACGGACCTAAGAATGTTTGGATACGGTAGCACCATATAAAACGGTTGCACTTTCCAAGACAAAACATTTGCACCTTTCACAAACCTAATTTTTTTTACCTTACCATGAAGGAACAATACGGTGGCACATGCCATCCCAACCACCCCTCTGAGTCCGTCCCTGTTGTTTAGAAATTGCAATTTCAAAATTGTGCTTGAAATGCATCAATAAAACGATTTATAATTCTTACACCAAATTGTTGATGAAAAATGCAATTAGTATATAGCCAACTCCTCCATGTTCATACCTCTCAAAATGTCTACCAACTATACAAGACCATTAAATCTGCATGGGATATAGAGATATATGCATATACATACACAATATATAACATATATATGTATATATATATAGAGAGAGAGAGAGAGAGAGATCTAGAGAGAGAGAGAGTGGTACCACTTAGAAGCACAAGATCTTTGACATTGAGACGTTTCTCAAAGAACTTCTGCTTGAGAAGCTGAATTGAATCTCTGGAATCAGGCATTCTGTTAGCCAATGTGAGATTTGAAACAAACCCATCTCTCCTACCAGTTTCCACCTCATAAACTGGCCCAAAACTCTATCAAAACCAAACACAAGAGTATACAGAGGAATCAAATCACCCACACAAACACACACTAAAGGTGTAACACTGTGTGAGATATATAGAGAGAGAGGTACATACAAAAGCAACAGCATCTCTAGCAGCTATGGCAACAATATCAGCACAAGAAACCACACCAGGGCACACAAACTCCAACTCAGCTTTTGCATTCTCTATCACATCAAACCCCTTCACTCCTTGATGCCCAACTGCTAGCTTTTCCGAAATCGCTCCATTATCTATCAGAATCGAACCATCACAACCCTGTTAAAGAGCCATCAGATGAAACCAACCCACAAATTTATAAAGCATCTGGTTTTTAGAGAGAATTGAAGTCAAAGAACCTGAACAAAGCAGTCATGGAAGTGAAGCCTGAGCAAGAAAGCAGGAACTTGTGGGTTGAAACGAGCCGCATCCCTTACAAAATCACCAACAATGGCTTCTGCATCTGGGCATGTGTTTCTGTAGAACCCTACTTTCAGACGGCCTTCTGAAATCCCCATCACTGATATCATCATAGCAAACATTATGATAACTCCTGATAAGTTGATCTCCATTAATATGTATATATTCTTCCTACACTTTATGTTTCTTCACCTTACAAGTGTGTGTGTGTGTGTGTGTGTGTGTTTTTGAAGAAAATAAGTGATGAGATGGATGAAGGTGGTATTGCTATGGTTTATGGGGAGGTTCATATCGACATTTAAGAAGATGAAGAGAGAGTTGCATGTGTCCCAAGTTCTAAAACTATTTAGAGACAAACTTTTACCACCATTTATTATCAAAATCATACGTTTGATTCATGTGAAATTGAAGTGCTTGTTGTTAAAAGGTGACCGGTAACCATTTATATATACACACACACTTATGTTATATCGTAATCGTAACACGTTATGCCTTTCGACCGTGGATGAGATTTGGTTAAAATTATCGTCTAGTAAAGTGGTGCGTTATTTGGTTAAAATTATCGTAATCGTAACACGTTATTTGTTTTTATATGCCTTTCCATAGATTATTGACGGATTTCCTATGGAAAAATGTCCATCGAAATTTTTTTGGTTGGAATAGTTTTCCGACGAACATTTTTTATGGTCATTCGGTCGGAAAAAGCGCATAGTTGTCAGTAATCTATGGAAACCTTTTACAAATATAACAGGAATTCCATGGAAAATCGTTAGACTACCTTTCAAACGGGTTTTTGCGATGGGTTACCGAGGGATTTTATTACTGATTCTCGATGGTGGTATTTTCGACGGGTTTTCTACAGATTTGTAAAATTGATTAATATTTTTACGGAAATCCTTCAAAAACGCATTTGAAACCCATAAAAGTTTAGTGATGGCTTTGGTTTTCTCACTATAACAAAATTGAGTTTATATGACACTTTCAATTTCTAAGCGTCCCAATAGACCACTTTATAAGACTTAATTTATAGGACCAAAATATAAAGCGTCCTATCTAAAAGTGTTGTAATAAGTTTATATGATGCTTTTGGACATCTTAACATGTTTTTTAGGACATTTTTTATACAAATTGTCGCATAACAACTTTATAGGACACTTTTGAGAAAGTGTCCTATAAACCCAAATTTTTTATACGACATTTGTTTTTATATGACAGTTTTTCAAATAGTGTCCTATAAAGTTGCTAATGGGACGCTTTATATTAAAAGTGTCATACAAAACTTATTACGACGTCAAAAAACATCATATAAACTTATTACAACGCCTTTACATAGGATGTTTTATTTTTTTGGTCCTATAAACTAAGTTTTATAAAGAGGACTATTAAGACGCTTAGAAATTGAAAGTGTCCTATAAACCCGATTTTATTGTAGGATCTTTTGTATACTATTGTTGTTACATTCCAAAGATGATGGGTTAAAATGGTAATTTTACATTTGCATCTCACATTAACTAATGCCTTATTTTTGTTCATATTGATGAATTGAATCATACATTTTTTTATCCCTTCTAACTATTTTTAGTATTTTTTTCTATGATATTTTATTCAATTTAAACATCTAAAGAAGACGCAAACGACTTTTTAAGTAACGTCGGTTTAGTAATTCACAATAAATTCGAAAAAAATTGCAAAATTCCAAGATGGGATACAGGCTTTTTTTGGTTGCGTCGTCAGTATGGTCATCTTCATAACACAGATCATCAAGAAACACGTTTTTTAAAAAGTAAAAACACACGTAATGTCTTCATAAAGAACTTCCCTTTGAAAGTCATTGTGGTTTTTGTTTGTTAGCTCATTGTATACAAAAACATGCACAAGTGAATGGTTGATGACGATGGTACGAGACCATCGGGTTATATTTGATAAACCAGTTGTTAGTAAATAAGATAGTCATGTTTGATAAAAGTTTACTAACAATTTAGATGACAATGTAAAATGATCTAAAATTACATGTTGAAAAATTACCTGAACTTGCTATAAAAAACATGATCGGAACTACCGAAATATGAGTGCCTTTTGAATTATTTTGATACTTTTACGTTCGCATAGATTTATAATCTATCGGGAACATAGCAAAATAGTAAATCTTTAGTAAAATTTGATGTTCGTAACAACATCATCGAGAGATCAAGACAACAAGAAAACAACAATTGCATCGATCTAAACTCACAGTCCGCTAGAGCCAATCAACTTGGTGAGTCCAAACGTAATAGCCATCGCCATCCACCCTCCCACCAGAACTCTAACACAAGACTTCACCACAGGAGTCCTCCCAAGAAAAGCTCCAATCCACCCAAAAAGCACCAGTGCCATCGTCACGGCTGCCACCACCACCACCAACCTCACCCCATGGTTCACTATGAAAGAAGCAGCAAGTAAAGGCACGATAGCCCCAAAGACAAATGCAAGGGCCGATGCTGCAGCCGCCTGCGTGGGATTTGGCAGTGCTTCGTTTTCATTTCTTGATCCGTTTATTTTCATCCGAGATACCTCTATATCAAGCTGAGAGTAAACAGACACAAATTCACCTATTGCCATACTGCAAGCGCCTGCAACTAGACCAGCAAAGCCCGTAAGAATCATGGCTTTCACATCATGTTTAACGGCTCCCACACCCATCATCAGAGATGCAACCGAAACTAAACCATCATTGGCTCCTAGAACAGCTGCCCGAAGCCACTGTCCCCTTTGGGAGTAATCAAAATCATCATCAGATTTCTTTTCAGGAATTCGAATAATGGTGTCATTTTGTGCAGCCATTAACCACAGAAGAAACTAAAGAGAATGTTATGTAACAAATGATCTACTGAAGGAGTAGTTACTAGAAGTCAGCTTTGCTTGTAAAAAATAACCCTCTAGAAGGTGTATGTGTGTGTGTGTGTATATATATATATATATAGAGAGAGAGAGAGAGAGAGAGAGAGAGAGAGAGAGATAGCTTAATTCACTGGCATTCTAGTCACACAAATGTGCAAGAATGACTCATCAATATGAGTCTAGATTTCCTTTCTATCTTTTATTGTTTGTATCTGTGAGGGTGTAGATTGGAAAACAGTTGGGTTAAACACCTTAATCAAGGCTTAATGATGATGGTAATCAAGGCTCAATGATGATGGTAATGAAGGCATAATGTAGTCGAACAGCTACTAGAGAGATTAAAACCAGAAATCACCATGATTCAAGGATGACTTCCAAACTTTATGTTCTTGTTCATCATAAAAAGCATACAGCCAGATTCTAAGTCTAGTGATATGATCAAGTATTATAGATTGAAAGCTAAAATGATTCAAGATTATAATCTTAATAGAATCTTTATTGGAGAACATGGTGCTTCTTAGAAAACTAATTCTGTAATTTTGGCTATACTAAACCAGATAAGGAAACAGTAAATCACTAAAAAGGTGGACTGTGTAGGATAGCACTTGCATAAAAAGGAATGATGGATTTGGGGAATCTATACCATGTTTAATTGAAATGGAAGGACTGTGCACTCCACACTAAAGGTGTAAATTTTAACAATTACTATATTATTTGTATATAATCTTCATTTTTGCAAAAGATCATATTTCTAAGCAGAATGATTGTAAGTTTGTAACCCTTATCCAAAATAATCTTCTAATAACTGTATTCTTGGCTTCTGCTCGTATTATCCATAGGGAACCCGTCGATCTCTACTGGATTCATGTTCATTACGCTGTCAGGGAAAGATCTATTGGAAGGCTGCAAGTTGTGTTGCCACTACACCAAAATCGGCTTTATAGAACGCCAAATATGTTTGAATGTCCTAATAGATTGTTTTATAGAACTTGAGTTTATAGAACCAAACATTTGTTTGTCCTATTGATTATGCCACAAATACTAGCATGCTTTGCAAGACCAACAAATTTGGGTTTATAAGACACCAAAAATGTCCGAATGTTCTAATAGACAACTTTATAGGAGTACGCACTCGTATGTTCTAAAAGTGTTGTAATAAATTTAAAGATGACACTTTTGGACATTTTAACAAGCTTTTTAGGACACGTTCGATAAAATGGCTAATAGGACACTTTGTTTCAAAAGTGTCCTAAAAAGCTTAGTAAGACGTCCAAAATTGGTGTATAAACTTAATACAACACTCTTAGATATGACATACAAGTGTTTGGTCCTATAAAATAATCTATTAGGATACCTAAACACTTTTGATGTCCTATAAACTCAATTTTATTGAAGTGAGATGAGCCTACCTTCACATTATGCCACAAATATTCTCATAAGCTATTGTTTATTTAACATAATACTTGTTAGAGCAACCTTATGTTAGAGCAACCTTTTCACCATTAATATGTTATTCGTTTGAATCATCAAATCGTTACATACAACATATAAATTACATATATACAGATACGAAAGGTTTGCAACCCTTCACCCAAAGGATACAACTATCCTTAATTATAACAGTTATGTAACTGTCAACATATAATTAATAACTAACTGTTACACATTTAACGCTCAAACACCATAACTAGCTTAACCTTTAACACACCCCCCAATTCAATCTTTTTGCTACCCCATTTTGCTGAGGGGTATACCTAGTAGTTGGTTGATGATGGATCCCATTTTCATTTAGAAAATTCTAGAAATAAGTAGAATTATATTCTCCATCACCATCTGATCTAATAGTGTTGATCAGATGTCCATTTTGCCTTTCAACATAAGTCTTGAAGATCTTAGAATAATTGAAGACCTCAGATTTTTCTTTTAAAAAGTAAACCCATAATTTTCAGCTATAATCATCTATAAAAGTGAGCATGTACCTATTTCCACCAATGGAGGGATTCTTCATAGGTCCACACACATCTGTATGGACAAGCTCAAGTGGTTTAGTGGCTCTCCAAGCTCCTTCTTGAGGAAATGATTCTCTTGTTTGTTTCCCAAGCATGTAGCCTTCACATGTCTCTTCTACCTTGCTTATATTGGGCAGTCCCTTTACTCGGTTGTATCTATGCATGTAACTTAGATATCCAAAATTTGTATGACCGAATCTGTAGTGCCATAACAAAGAATTCTGCTTTGTGGATAGATTGAAAGAGAATAAAGTGTTTTCCTTATATCTGAAGGGAAACATTTTATTTTGTCATTCTAGTCTTACGAAGTGTGCTTCCATTTGAATCCTTTATTTCACACGTTTCACCTCTGAAATGCAGATCATATCCTTTCTGTAAGAGTTGTCCAAAACTAAACAAGTTGTGTTTTAATTCTGGCACATAGTAAACACTTGGTATCTTCTTTTGTCCAACTTTTGTGTTGACCAGAATCTCTCCAATTCCGTGTACACTTAATCTTTTGTCATCTCCAGTTCTTACTTCTTTCTTTTGCGTTTCATCAATTTGGGCAAAGATATCTTATTTCCAGTCATGTGATTACTGCAACCACTATTGATATACCATGTATCATCAAAGCATACTTTTTGAGTACTAAGTATCATGAACATGGTATCATCATCATTTTCATCTTCTATTTTGATAAAAGTATTATCTCTTTGGTCTGCTATTCTTTTTCTGACATATTTGGCTGTATGGCCAAACCTTTGGCAGTGATAGCACTGCACTAGTGATGATGGTTTCCCTCTGTCTCTTCCTTTCATTTCTCCTTGTTGTTCTCTGTCAAAAATTGTGTTCCTCTCATGCGTGTTTGAAGACTGTAATTGAAATGCTTGTTCATAAAGTGTGGAATCAAATTATCTCATCCTGAGTTCATGAGATAGGAGGGTTCCAAGTAGACTTTCAAGAGATAGAAAGAAAGGTCTTTTGGACTCCTCAATTGCAACCACGATGTATTCAAATTTCCTCGTTAAACTYCTGAGAATCTTTTCAACTACTCTTCTATCGTCTACATTTTCTCCATTCAACCTCAATTGATTTAGTATCAGAATCACATGATTGCAGAATTCCTCAATTGTTTCAGAATCCTTCATCTTTTAATCTATCGAATTCACATCTTAAGGTTTGTAGCATAACTGTCTTCACTCTGTCTGCTTCACGATACGTTCTGTAGAGCATATTCCATGCCTCTTTAGACGAATTCGTCAAGGAAATTCGTTCAAAACAACCTCATCTACTGCCTGATAAAGTATGTAGAAGCCTTTTTTTATTAACCTGGATATCCAACCCGCTATGCGAGCCGACTAATCCCAGAACGACCACCCGCTTCGCGGGTAGCCCGGAGTCACCGCATTTGAACCTCTATGGCCACAAGGGGATTTTTTTATTCCTCCTTGGATTCAAACCTGAGACCTCCAAACATTTTTGACCTTTGGAGCCCAAGCTCAAACCAATCAGGCACCATCCTTATGGTTTATGTAGAGGGCTTTTCTATCCTTCTTTCTTGAACCTCTGAGTTCTTTTTCTTGTTCTTGCGTTGTTTCTTCATATTGATCAAGTTCGTCAATTCCTTGTTCAGCAATGTCCCATAATTCTTGTAACTCAAATAGAAACTTCATCTGAATGCTCCAATGGTAGTAATTCTTCCCGTTTAATTTCGGTAGTTAGAGATGTAGAATGGTATTCGAATTTGAGGCCATGTATTTTGGCTCTGATACCACAATGTTAGAGCAACCTTTTCACCACTAATATGTTATTCATTTGAATCATCAAATCGTTACATACAATAGATAAGTTACATATGTGTATATATATATATATATATATATAGATAGATAGATATGAAGGGATGCAACCCTTCACCTAAACAACACAACTATCCTATTTATGACAGTTATGTAATTGTCAGCATATCTATATTATATTATAAAGCATTTGACAAAAATTCTTAAAATCACTTTTTATGCGTAAAGTACTGTTTATTAATGCATATTACTTAAAACTCAAGAATGCAAGTAGATTGTGCGTAAGTACAACTTATTAAAGCTCCATAACTGAATTCGTGTAACTAACTGCAGATAAACATAATCAATACAAGATAAATATCTCATTTTAAATATAAAAAATCTAAAATATAATTAGGATAATCATTGAATTTTAACAGAATACTTGATTATTATCTTTATAAAATGTTATATTATTAAACCAAAAATAAATTATTTCATTATTAAACTTTTATTAAATTATAATAAAAAATAAATTAAAAAATTATATAAAAAAATGAGAACTTTTAAATAGTTGATTTGATATTAGCATTGATATATTTTTTTTTTCAAATTTTTATGATATCTTCAAATTTATATTTTATTCAAAAATAAATCATTGTTTTCTTAAAAACACATAAATCGTATTATAACATCGACAGAGACGAATAATAAAATAGAACATTAAAATCGAGATGTGTCTCGCTGTATTGTACGAGTACTATTTTAGTAGTAAATAACTAACCGTTACATATTTAATGGTAAAACATCATAACTAGCTTAACCTTTAACAATACTTTTGTGTACATAATATTTGTGCAAATGAAAAATCAAACCTTCTCTAAAAAGAACTAGTTTTGGTGGGCACCTGGTACTTTGGCTGCTTGTTTCAGCCCAAATCTATCTGCAATTAGAAATAAAAGTGAGAAGAAACAATGGTAGCAGATGACATGTTGTAATGGATGATGGGGTCAACATCCTGCTCCCTGTGTGTAGAACTAGTAGGCCATGGGCCAAGATAGTGGAGGGCTGATACAGATACCATATCCATGAGAACTTATGCTTCTTATAGCTAAAAGCAAAGAGTGTGCAGTCCACAATAAAAGCTGGGAGTAATCAATCTCACAATAAAATCATAAATCATGGAATCCATACGACTGCCACAATCCGTCTGATAGAAAAATGAAATATAAAACAGATGTGGAATCCACACACATGTTTATGTATGTATATATATATATATATATATATATGTACGTATGTACGTATGTACGTATGTATGTATGTATGTATGTATGTATGTATGTATGTATGTATATGTATGTATGATGGAAAAATGATATAAAACCGGTGTGGAATCCACACACATGTTTATATATATACATATATATGTATGCATGTATGTAATGTATATATATATATGTATGTATGTATGTATATGTATATATCACTTCTCATATTCACAGATACAGAAATCACAACACTAAACTAAATACACAATTCTCTACGTGAAATCTGGACAACATAACATGTCAAGAAAAACATCCAAACTCCCAACAGACTTTGAAGCCTCAAAAATGGCCAAAAAGTCAAGTAAGCAGCATCTTTCAACTGTCGATCAGATGTAAGTATATATAACTACAAAGGGTCAAACCAAATTCAACAAAAGTAACAACAAACGCAAAAGGAGATCATGTATGACAGTATGAGTCACCAAACTATTAGATAACTGTCCCATTGACTCAACCATCATCGTCATTTAACCAGGTAATAGTCTCCCCGCAGAAATATTGACCAAGAAGGAAAGCATGCATGCTATCACACAGTCGAAATGAAAGACTACGTACCTAAAAGCAGGATTATAAGTAAATTGGGATTTCGATATGAAGTACAAGTAAAAGGTGACAGCTACTTCTAGAGAATCCTATCACAAGAAAACACTTTCATTTCATCAGCTACATCGAGTAAGACCAGTTAGTACAGTGACGTGTTCCTTAGCCACTTTAGTCGTATGTATTCTTGAACATATCCACATATCAATTGAATGAAACAGTTAAGTTGTTCATATATATATATATATATATATATATATATATAGCCACTGAAAAGAACTAGGTGAACTTCCTTGCAACAAACACAAGTTAAAAGATACATGTATTGAGAGGAGACATGAAGATAGATGTTTCTGATTTACTTGAGAAAATCCCTCGAATCAGAAAGACTACTCAGAGGGAACCGGAATACACACAAGTTCAAATCTCTACAACAATCATGTTACAGGAAAAAGGAAAATACAACATTGTGTAATGCTACAGTCCTGTAGAGCCTATCCACTTAGTAAGTCCAAAAGTAATGGCCATTGCCATCCACCCTCCAACAAGAATCCTGAAACAAGACTTCATCACCGGAGTCCTCCCTAAAATAGCTCCAATCCATCCGAAAACCACAAGGGCTGAAGTCACTGTGGCTACTACCACACCCAGCCTAACCTTGTGGTCCACTATAAAAGCAGCAGCAAGTAAGGGCATGATGGCCCCTAACATAAATGCAAGGGCTGATGCTACTGCTGCCTGAATCGGATTCGGCAATGCTTCATTTTCACTTTCCTTGTTGTTTCGGGCATCTCTCTTCATCTGAGCCACCTCTACATCTCGTTGGGAATACACTGAAACAAATTCACCTATTGCCATACTGCATGCACCAGCAACTAAGCCAGCAAAGCCTGTAAGAATCATGGCTCTGACATCTTGTTTAACAGCTCCAACACCCATCATCAGAGATGCAACAGAAACTAAACCATCAGTGGCTCCCAGAACAGMAGCACGCAGCCACTGTCCTCTTTGTGAGTAATCAAAGTCTTTCTCTATAGACACTTGGACATGTTTCTGTTCTGATTTGTCCTCAGGAACCGCAATGCGTACATCATTTTGTGCAGCCATAATGGTGAAAGAATGCAGGAAAGAGATTATTATATCACAAGGAATGATAAATGGTCCAAGAAAGAACTAGAAACTGCTTAGTTGTGCAAGATAGAGTCCCCCCTACAGGATATATATAGTATGTATGTATGTATGTATCTATGTATGTGTGTATAAATATTATATATATTTGTCGATAATGATCAATCTGTAGATCGTGCAGAAAGTAAAAGATAGTGTGTAAACCAAAAGCCCTGATAATGATATGTAAATAAAGCATTCCACCAAATGGATTTAATAGTGTCAGAAGCCACGGTAACAAGCTTACCAACGTGTGTATATTTTTCCTGATTATTATCGACTATTAAGTTCGAAGCATAAGGTACTCTGATTAGAATACACTTCGACTTCACTAAAATTTAGCACCCATAGTACGTGTAGGTTCTTATAATAGTAACTTAACCATCCTATTCTGGTTAATAAATTCAAAGAACCTCTATCATCTGCTTCACTTACGTTTTCATATTTCTTTATTCTTTATCCCTTGTGTTCTGTTTCTTCATACTAGTGTGCTTCAATAACCTTAGGGAACTTATCAATTATGCAATGTTCCCCAAAGCCATTTTCTTATTTAAATCACTAGGCTCATAATCACCATTTGATGCTAAGTTTTGGCATTCAAAGCAATCAAATTTCCATGAGTGAACTGTTCATAATGCAGTGTGAAAAGTCTAACTCTAATTGTGGTAGTCCACTTGCTTTCAAGAATTTGAGTGCCAAGTACTGAAGCTAAAAGGCATGCAAAACCTTTAAAAGCATCTACGGAAACAGCGAAAGAAGCTTATTTGCTGCATTTCACAACATCATCATAGCCAGGAAAGAAGTAACTGAAACATGTAGAAGGATAACAATTCACGGGAGAGATTTTGGAACGTTTTATCATACAAAAATAGAAACAGTCGGCAATATATACAGAACTTGGAAAGATGGGTCATTAGAAAATCATGGTTGGTGGTATCCACCCGACTGTCACCATGCCCTTGACATTTAAAAAGAATAAACATCAAAATCCTTCCGTAAATAAACAAAAAACTATCATGCAATACTAAGTAGTGGAAAGATTGGTAAAGTATATGAAAGGAGAGTCAAATCCACACAAAAGCAAACCAGATGCGTATTGATGAACCTAAATAAAAACAGTAGACAACTTGTCTGATATGTTGACTGCCTTTGCCATAAGAAATTGCACTAATACTACTTACAAGTTAAATAAAGGGGTATAATACCTTTTAATCTTTTGAAAGACAAAACTGATCCTCAATTGTGACCAAGCACTTGCTCCTGGAAAGCACATATATTTAAACTGGTATTTGACAAATCATGACACATTTAATATACGAAATCAGAAGGCCTGTGCACCACATACACAAGTTGTAGAGGTTATCACCACGAAATCCACCACCATGACCTACTCTTTCAGTAAAGCCAACACCTCTTTCCTATTTCAAGCTTCCAAAATTTGTATTGGTTCTGTGGTATCATACTTCTTACAATAATTATAAAAGCATTACATAATTATATATTTGGGCAAAAAGTTGATTACCGGCAACCCTAACCAAGTCTATGAAACTACCAACATTAGCCTGAGTACCTGACTACTATTTCTGTTACTGTTTTTGTCCCTCTCTCCACTTCCTGTTCTATCTTCCTGGGGTTTTTTGGATGTCTTAAGTATTTTACCTCAAGGGTGAATCAAATATTCATATTGATAACATATCCAAAGCAGTATCTAGATACCGAGAAAAACTAATAAAACTCAGGAAGCATATAGCTTAGGCATGTAAACTGCTGAATCTAGAACTAGAAGTGACTGTGCAACAAGTCTTGGACAGCTTTAGCAGAAACTTGTCAAAATTTACAGTTTTAAAGATACGTCTTGTACTTCCAAAAAAAAATTGTGGCAACCCATACATAACCACATAAACCCATGTATTCACATGCGTGTAGCTATAGACGGTAGAATTGAACTAGAATCCACAATAGAAGTTGGAGTAATCGATCTCACTGGAATTGTAGGGATTGTGGAATCCACACGACTGCCACAATCCATCCGAATATAAAAATGGAAACAATATCAAGATAATATAAAATTTAAATAGAGTGTGCAGTCTATAAGTGGTGGAAAGATGAGTTTAAAAAATGGAAGGAGTGTGGAATCCACACAACCCACAGCATAAGGATTAAGTGGAAAAGGACAAGGTTCTTTCTTTAATATATTGAATTATTTTCCAAACAGTTACTTTCAGCCTTTCAGGCAACACAATAAGCAGTGTCATTACATCAAAGGGTTACCTTAGTACATCATTAATCATATTCACAAATACAGACATCAAATAAAATAAGTAAACAGAGAAATTGAACATCAGAGATTGATGGCAAAACCTTTGAAAGAAACACCACATCAGGAGCGGAGGATTCATTATGTAGAATCTGGAGATGACAAGATGTAGACCAAAACTCGAACAACTATAGAATCAGAAGCAAAACATTGCCCAATACTGAAGTAAGCAGCTTCCTTATTCTGCCTTAAACAAAGTCTGCCAAAACACCGAATCTTGTTCTTCTCTCTTTTTTGGTGGTTGTAAAATTTTATTCTGGGTCGAGTATTAAGTCAATTCCCGTAACTTGAGTTGGAAGCACATTCAATAAAAAGTAACAACAAACGCAACAGCAGACTATAAATGGGTCATTAACCTGCTAGGTATAACTGTCACATTGACTCAACTATCTTCCTCGTTTAACCAAGTAATAGTCACCTAGAGAAATAATAGGACTTGATGGGCATGTATGCTATCCACAGTTGAAACGAAAGACTAGATATCTAAACTAGGACTCCAGGAAAAAATTTAGATTTTGATATGAAGTGCAAGTAAAAGATGACAGCTACTTCTGACGAATCCTATCACAAGAGAACACTTGCATTTCAACAGCTACACCAAGTATGACCAGTTATTGCACTGCTTTTAATTACACAGTGAAGTGTTCGTTAGCCAGTTTAGTTGTGTATCCTTGAACATATCTGCATATCAATAGGATAATACAGTTATCTTGTTCATATATAGCCTTACTATGAGAACCAGGTAAACACCCTTGCTACAAACAGAAGTACAAAAGATATATGTATTAGGAGACATGAAATAAATGTTCCAAATTTGATTGAGAAAGGCCCTCGAATCTTTGAAGACTACTTGGAGGGAACTAACATACACAAAAAAGTTCAAATCTCAACAACAATCACGTTATGGTAAAAAGGGGAAATACAATATGGTGCAATGCTACAGTCTTGTAGAGCCTATCCACTTGGTCAATCCAAATGTAATGGCCATTGCCATCCACCCTCCAACGAGAATCCTTAAACAAGACTTCATCACAGAAGTCCTCCCTAGAATAGCTCCAATCCACCCGAAAACCACAAGCGCCAAAGTCACTGTGGCTACTACAACACCCAGCCTAACCTTATGGTCGACTATAAATGCAGCAGAGAGTAAGGGCATGATGGCCCCCAACATAAATGCAAGGGCTGATGCTGCTGCTGCCTGAATGGGATTCGGCAATGCTTCATCCTCACTTTCCTTGTTGTTTCCGGCATCTCTCTTCATCTGAGCCACCTCTACATCTCGTTGGGAATACACTGAAACAAATTCACCTATTGCCATACTGCATGCACCAGCAACTAAGCCAGCAAAGCCTGTAAGAATCATGGCTCTGACATCTTGTTTAACAGCTCCAACACCCATCATCAGAGATGCAACAGAAACTAAACCATCAGTGGCTCCCAGAACAGMAGCACGCAGCCACTGTCCCCTTTGTGAGTAATCAAAGTCTTCCTCTACAGACACTTGGACATGTATGTGTTCTAATTTGTCCTCAGGAACCGCAATCTGTAAATCATTTTGTGCAGCCATAATGGTGAAAGAAAGCAGAGAATATTATATCACAAAGAATGATAAATGATCCCAGACAAGAACCAGAAACACCTTATTCGTGCAAGACAGACTCCCCCCCCCCCCTACAAGATATATATATGGCATGTATGAAAGTATGTGTGTGTGTGTGTATACATATATAATATTATATATCAAGTTATTTGTCTATAATGATTAATTTGTAGACCGTGCATAAAGTAAAAGATAGTTTTATAACCCTTATTTGTGCAAGATAGAGTCCCTCTATAGGATATATAAAGCATGGTATGTATGCATGTGTGTATGCATATATATATATATATATATATATATTACATATTATGTTATTTGTCCATAATGATCAATCTGTAGATCGTGCAGAAAGTAAAAGATAGTGTGTAACCCACAAGCCCTGATAAGGATATTTAAGAAAAGCAATCCAGCAAATAGATTAGAGGGTTGGATTATGGTGAGAAGGATGAGAAGGGATCTCCATCCTTGGATCAATCCTAATTGAAGATCAATAGTAATGAGATGCTCCAAGATGCATCAGATCATTTCCTGTGAGAAGTGCAATCCACAGGTTGGGGTGAGATTAAAAGTGATCAAGGGTCCAGATCCTTCTCAATCTTCTCACCTTAACTCCTATTCTCACACGATCCTTTGTCATAGATTAAATAGTGTCAGCAACCCTGGTAGCAAGCTTACCAATGTATGTAGATCTTTTTTTCCAGATTATTCTCTACTCTGTAGTTCAAAACATAAGGTACTCGCAATCTTGGATTATAGTACACTTCGACATATCTTTATTTTAGCACCCATGGCACATGCATGTTCTTATAGTGGTAACTTAACCATCCTATCCTGGTAGATAATATGAAAAGAATCTCTTTCATCTGCTTCAATTCTGTTTTTCCATTTATTTATTCTCTATCCCTTGTGTGCTGTTTCTTCATACTAGTGTTCTTCAAGAAACTTAGGGCATTTATAAACTAAGCAATGTTTATTCCCCAAATCCATTGTTCTTATTTTACTTACCAAGGTCATAATAACTATTTGAGGCTAAGTTTTGGCCTTCGAAGTGTATCATAACAGCAAGCAATAGAAGTTCTGAGAAAATTTCCATTAGTGAACTGTTCATAATGCAGTGTG